GTTTGGGGGGGCCCCCCCCCCCCCCACATGATTGTAAAGCGATTTGGGTGTACAGCAATACACAATAAAGTGCTACATAAATGCATCATTCATTCATTCATTCATTCATTCATTCATTGTTTGATGCAACTCCATGCCATATTTTTATATGAAAATAAACAAGCTGAAAACACTCTAACTGGTATTAGTGTTAAGCCTCAAATGTCAACTATACATCGGATTGGTTTCTTCTTTAAATTATAAAAAAGTAAAAAATATGAATGGTATTATAATGTTATACTAAAACTAAAATTAAAATAATGGGAAAAACCCTTAAGATAACGTAGAAAGAAAAAAACGCATCTTAAGCACGCAGAATAACATAATTGGACTTTGAACGATTAATTGCCGCTTTGAACGATTACGTAATTGTGGCATCCATAATTGTAATCGCGATTAGAAATTTGATTAATTGTGCAGCCCTACAGCCAATCAGAATCCACCTGACTTTAAAGAATTTGAGAATTTGAAGCAGCAGACGACAAAACTGCAACTTGCAATTTTAATTGCAGTTCGTCCATTGGTTAAATTTAACGATAATATAGCTATCATTAAATTTAAAGGGTTAGTTTACCCAAAAACGAAAATTAGCCGATAAATTACTCACCCTCAAGTCATCCTAGGTGTATATGACTTTCTTCTTTCAGACAAATCCAGTCGGAGTTATATTAAAAAATGCGCAAAGCTGACCTCATACGTCATCCTCCTGGAGCTGCTTCTGTGTACAACTGTTGGCGCAAGCTACATTAAAGTGATTACTTTTAGAATACGTTTAGAATATGGATATTTTTCTTACAAAAACACATCGATTCGCAACAACAGCTTGATTAGTGTGCTGTAATACTCTGCAGAAAAATTTTTTTTTATTGTGGTTTATTATCAATAACAATTTCAATAAATAACATTTATACAAATAATAACTTAATACATTTAATAATGACAATAATAACATAGAACAATGGTCCAAAATCCTGCTTCTCATAACTTTATAATAAACATTTAACCATATTTGCTCATTGGCAGTGATTATCACCTCACATTTAGTTTGAACAGACAAATTTATCAAGCTCTGCTTAGTGCACACACACACACACACACCCTTGATCTCTGTAATGAGAATGCTGCTGGCATGGTGAACCAGTCTTAATGGCACCATGCGGTTATCGCAGCAGTCGGATCTCATGTGACGAGCCGTCAACCATTAAGTATTAAGACATTCCCTGCAGTGTGTGTGAACCGCGAACAGGTGTGTGTGTGTGTGTGTGTGTGTGTGTGTGTGTGATTGAAGCGGCCGCCATTAAAAGATTGCCTGGTGCTCATGTGCTTGGCAATCTAGCAAGGAAGAAGGCTATTTTATTTTTATTCATTTTGGCCAACCAGTGAGCATTTCTGGATGGATCTTCAAGCATCTGAGCCGAGTTAAATGCTGCAGATAAACAAATAAAACAAACTAAATTAATAAAAAGAAATGAAGAATGTGGTTTCTATTTTTCCATTCTGTTTCCAGGACAGGCCTGTCCGTTCGTCCTGCTGGTGTTGACCGGCCAGTTGGAGGATCTTCAGGTGGCTCTGTTGGCATCTCTCATGGACGTGATTGGCCTGCGACACGGTCAGAGTGATTTGAGTAACTCTCTGTCCTGGTCGGACGGACTGAATCGGCTTCATTGCTACCCACGGGGCGAACATCTCCTGTACCTGCTGGGACAAAACGTGAAGGACGCTGGACAGGACACAGCAGAGGTCAGTTCATCTGTCTATCCATCAATCCATCTATTGATTCATGCATTCCTTTGTTGGTTGACCATCTAATCTGCTCCATCCACCCATTGATTTCATTGTTCGTCCATCTATCTATTCTTTTGTACATCCATCCATCTTTCCATCCTTTTGTCTTTTCATACTTCCATCCATCCATTCTTATGTCTCTCTGCCTGTCCTTCCATCTATTTCTTTTACTGTCCATCCATCCTTCGTTCTTTCATTCTTTCATCTATTTTTATGGTGTGTTCACACCAAACGCAAATTTAATTATTCATGAGAGTAGATTACATTTAAAGTCAATGTAAAGACGCGAATAGAGGCGAATTTGTGTCGGTCAACGAGTGCGTGTCGCGTGTGCTGCAAACGTGCTATATTCGCCTCAATCGCATCTTCTGCACAAGCTGAAAAATTTCAATTGAAGTGGAAAATTCACATGATCTCGTTGGAGGTGGCTGTCATCCAAGCGCAGTTCCTGGAGAATGACGGTGAAATTCACTGAGTTATGTGCGCCTCTGGATGGTGCTGTGGTCCCAGGCATGTCGGCTTTCCGGCGTATTTGAAACTTCCACAACAGGTACAAAGCAGCAATCATAGCTATCTCCACCATGGTTGATCGCGCAATGTTTGCTCGAGTAACATCCCGCGAGTACTCTGGAGCGAGTGACGCGATGCACACATTCGCTTTGTGTTTTGTAGGAACACACCATTAAGTTTCTTTCATCTTCTTTCATTCTTTTGTCCATCAACTGTCCTTTCATCTGTTCTTTTGTCCATCCATTCAGGCATTCATTCATTCATCCTTCCTTCCATCCATCAATTTTTGTCTGTCTGTCCATATACATCCAGCCATTCATTTGCCCCTCTCCATTGCTTCCTCTTACAGTGTTCAATGGGTTGGCCAGATATTGGTAGGAATTTGAGTGCAAGCGTGATAGAGGCACCAGTGGAATTATACGGCCCAATATAAGAGCAGGAGTGAGGTTAGCCATGGTCCATGGAGGCTGTGCTGGTGTGTAGATATGGAACAGAGAAGGAAACTTGGCTGCCTTTACGGATAGTAGCTGAGCGGTTCCCTCTCTCTCTCGGGTTCTGTGGAAGTGGCCGTTGTGTCACTCTCTCCAGAGGCTTTAGGATGCGGGCGGTGGCTCATAGCTGCTTTATTGTGGGGGTCCAACAACTTTAGTACGTATGTGGGTCTTTTTTGGGGCAACATCTGCGTGTGGGCATCAGGACTCTTGGGGCGTGACACGTTTCTTTCTTTTTCGGTTTCAATGGTGCCAGCTGGCAGCAATGGAAGTAGGCCACCTCAGACGTGTTCTCCTTTCTTTCTTTTCTTGCGTTTTACGAGCTGGCTCAGCGCTCAACAGAGATGGAGCCCGGTTAGTCGCCCTAAACAGGCAATACATGGCATTGCTCTTCTCACTTTTCATTTTCCTTCTTCTGAACCCATATCGCCCTCAAGTCTACTGGCACTTTGAGTCCATCATGTTTGCTCTCTTTACATTTTCCCAGCCTATATTTACAATCCTCTTTTGAACAAAATCAAATGTAATTTGCACGCTTGAATGGAAACCATCCGGAACATATCCAAACCTGTTGACCTTCTCCCAGCCAATGAGAAGGTCAATAGGTTTGGATACTCCAACCACAGGCAGTTGGAGTATCTACAGCGGTTTCGATTCCGATCTGACCTGGTTCACTTTTCCCCAGCAGGAGAACACAAGTGGGACCAGCAGCAGGCTAAGAGAGCCAACAGTCAGAAGACCCCTCCGGAGCCACAGCCGGCAACAGAGCTCACCACGCAGGTACTGGATTTGATGTTTCATGCCAAGAGGCCCCAAATATGATGACACCTAAAATATGACGATAGCTATATATTTTCATGCATACAGGTTCATTGAAAATATTTTAAAATGATCAAATGTGATATACAGGGTTTCTACGTGGTTTGGAAAAGTATGGAAAAAAAAGAAAGCAGAGTTTGGAAAAATATTAGCATTTACAGACTTTTGCCCCTATTTAGTTTAGTTTTTTTTTTTGGCAATAGAAAATTAAGAACTTAATGAAAACAAGTTTATCATACAAGAAGTGTTTTCATGGCAAGGTGCACTTTTTAATTATGCAAAATGTTTTGCGTTTTGGGTTTCTTCTCACGATATTCTTAGCACCATATGACATAGCCTCGAGGACCTTTTGCAAAAATAAAAAAAGTATACAGACTTTTATGTGTGCACAAGCAACCATTAAACTTATATAGGACCATTAAACTTATCATATAGGACAATGCACACTGAGCCACCTATTGTGCCATCAGCCATTTCGTGATGTGGTGTCTTGGCGCCACAGAATATGTGTTAAAGAGATTTAAGGCCTTGAAATATGACTGCCCTAAGCCACATTTTGAAGACTTTTTTTTTACAATACCAGTCTTTTTTTGAAGACCCTTAAACTTGGCAAATAGAACAATGCACATAGCTGTATTATGCTATCAGCCCATTTCGTGTCATGGTTTCTCCGCTGCTGCAGAGGATGTGCTAAATTGGACATTAGGCCTTGATATTAGAGGTACCATAAGGAAAGCCACATTTTTAGCAAGTATATCTCTATTAATTCATGTGCATCCATGCTCTGACTTTATTCATAGTAAAATGGCTGTGATGCACAAAGCAAATAGGTTATATAAAACTAGAAATTGTAATGCGTAAGAATGTGAAAAATTCCCATGCGCATGTAAATAGTTTCTCGAGGGCACAAAAAAGTTTCTTGTGCGCATCCAAAAGTCAATGTAAAATCAATGTTAAAAAACTCGGAAAAAATATGACATCAGTAGTTCAACCGTAATTTTACGAAGGTACGAGAATACTTTTTGTGCGCAAAGAAAACAAAAATAACGACTTTGTTCAACAATTCTTCTCCTCCTCATCCAGCCTGCTGTGGCTTGAGTCCATTTTGGAGAGTATCACGACGCATGCGTGCACTTCCGCTTCATCTAAACAATGCATGCGCATTGCGCTGCTGCTTATGTCAACACGGACATGCGTCAGCACGCGCATGCATTGTTTACAGGAAGCGGAAGTGTGCACATGATGGTGCTCCAAAATGGAGGCAAGCCACAGCAGACTGGATGAGGAAGAGAAGAATTGTTGAACATAGTCGTTATTTTTGTTTTCTTTGCGCACAAAAAGTATTCTCGTAGCTTCGTAAAATTACAGTTGAACTACTGATGTCACATGAACTATTTTACTGATGTCCTTACTATGTTTCTGGACCTTGATCGTGGTAGTACCCTTGCTGTCTATGGGAGGGTCAAAAAGTTCTCGGAATGCATCAAAAAATATCTTAATTTGTGTTCCGAAGATGAACGAACGTCTTACGGGTTTGGAATGACTTGGGGGGGGGTAATTAATGACATAATTTTCATTTTTGGGTGAACTATCCCTTTAAATATGGTCCGAAAATCTTCTGAGAGGTTTGGAAATTTGAGTCTGGAAAAGTATGGAATTTTGAAATGGAAAATGTGTAGTAACTCTAGATATAGAGTGCTGCAGTGATTACTTATTGGTAACCCAGTAGTTCACATCACACTGGTTCCTTCAGCAAAAACCCAATTGGATTTTTCCATTTGCTTTTGTATTAATGCAGAAAATAAGCTGTGTGACTGACAAAAGTTTATGATTCTTACATTCATCATGATAATCTTCACAAAATAACACAACTTTTGTGAATTTTTGAAGCCTAAATACTAGTGAGTAAATGACCTCAGCTGTTCAATGAAAATTCTGTCATTAATTACTCAACGTCATGTCATTCCAAACCTGCAAGACCTTAGTTCATCTTCGGAACACAAATTAAGACATTTTTTGATGAAATTCGAGAGCTTTCTGACCCTCCCTAGTCTGCAACGCAAATGACACGTTCAAGGCCAAGAAAAGTAGCAACATTGTTAAAGTAGTCCATGTGATGTCAGCTGTAATAGTACTTCAAAACAAAAATAGCACATGCGTTGTGTACTCACGTGAACGCAGGTCGAAGACTGACACAGAAGAGAAGAAACTGTTCAATAGTCGTTATTGTTGTTTTTGTCTTTTGCGCACAAAAAGCATTCTTAAAGCTTCATAACATTACAGTTGAGCCACTGATGTCACATGGACTATTTTAATGATGTCCTTACTACCTTTCTGGGCCTTGAACGTCTCAGTCGCATTGCTGTCTATGGAGGGTCAGAAAGTTCTCGGATTTCATCAAAAATATCTTAATTTGTGTTCTGAAGATGAACAAAGGTCATACAGGTTTGAAACAACATGAGGGTAAGTAATTAATGACAGAATTTTTATTTTTGGGTGAACTATCCCTTTCGGTCCTGTTCAGCCACTTGATAGAAACTGCCTTTTTCAAGACAAGTAAAAGCTTTAAAAAAATCACAAGGTGGTATTACTGATGCAATTTATGTTGTAGAATAGAATCTGAACGTATATTCTGCTTGTGTTAACCACAGAACTTCAGACATTCAACCAAAAACCCATTCAGAAAAACATTAATTTCAGGATGATGGAATCAGAAGTGCTAAAATGCCCTACAAAAAATGTCATCCCACAATCACTCTATTCTTTTCTTTGCAGAACTAAAAAAATTGGCTTTTTTATACTGACATTTTTGTGGACCCCTTAATGCCCGTTATACAATAAGCTTAAGGATTTAAATCAGTCAAATAACAGATACAACAGTTGAAGTAACTTATTTGTTTCAAAGACAATTTTTTAAATACATATTCATTGTATTTTGCACCATTGTTTTTATGCATGCCATTATTTTTGCTATTCAGTTTGGTGCCACTAGAGGTGCAGAAGTGACACACTTCACCTTTAATTTCTTCTTTGAAGGCAATGGTTAAGCCATAAGCTCAGTAGTTGGAACCCAAACGTTGACGTTCCCTGGCCCTTCAGAGAGGTTTCCATACCACTAACTTTCCATCAAGTTGTTGAAGTTTCCATACAGGCAGTGACATTTAGATTTAATTTGTAAGTCAATATTGATATGTCATGATTAGCGCAGAGGATTGTATTTTTGGAAGCTGAAGTTACATTTTCTTTGAGGAGCTTGTTTGAACTTTTTCCACCAGGCTGATCCAGTTCCCACCTCCCCCCTCCAAGGGCGGCATTACCGTGACAACCGAGGACCTGGAGTGCCTCAAGGATGGCGAGTTTCTCAACGACGTCATCATCGACTTCTACCTCAAGTGAGTCTGACGGTACTTATGAGGGTTTCGGCTTGTAAAATTAGATCTGATATTTTCCCCAATATTAAATACCCCATCAGGTACCTTCTGTTGGAAAGAGCCGACAAAGACGTGGCCGAAAGATCTCACATCTTCAGCAGCTTCTTTTACAAGCAACTCACTCGGAAAAACACTAGCTGCCCTGAAGAGACCGGCAGCACGTACGAAATCACCTTTTATAGTGTGTTTATACAGGATTTAAAGAGACAGTACACCCAAAAATGCAAGTTAAAGGGATAGTTCACCCAAAAATGAAAATGTCCCCATGATTTACTCACCCTCAAGCTGTATATGACTTTCTTCTTTCAGACGAATACAATCAGAGTTATATATAAAAAAAAAAATATCCTGGCTCTTCCGAGCTTTATAGTGGGAGTGATTTTGAAGCCCAAAAAAGTGCATCCATCCATCATAAAAAGTGCCTCACATGGCTCCGGGGGGTTAATAAAGGCCTCCTGAAGTGAATCGATGCGTTTGTGTGAGAAAAATAGCCATATTTAAAACTTTTATAAACCGTAATCTCTAGCTTCCGCTAACTGTCATACACGTGTTCACGAGAGAGTGGCGTTCCAGCGGATGACGTAGGATGTAGACATATCGTAAATCATGAGTAATTTTCATTTTTGGTTGAACTATCCCTTTAAATGTAAATTTAAGGATTTTTAATTTTTTTGCTAAATTGTATGTTTCTTGCTGATGTGAATGACTGTGTGGTGTTTTTCCACAGAGCCCAGTACAGACGGCATCAGAGAGTGAGAACATGGACCCGTCATGTGGACATCTTTAGCAAAGACTACCTTTTTATACCCGTAAATCACGAGTAAGTGGGGAATTTAAATTTAAAACACACACATGCATAATTCAGATAGACACTAAATATTGGATAAAATATTCTTTAATTATTATGAACTTTTGATTATTTTATTACTATTTTATTATTATTTAATTATTAGTTGTTGTTTTTTAATAATATGGAATGACATATACACTTGGTAAGATGTTTTAATGTCTCACTAAGGCTGCATTTATTGAATTAAAAATACAGTAAAAACAGTAATATTGTGATATAATATTACAATTTAAAATTGGCATTTTCTATCTGAATATATTTTAAAATGTAATTTATTTCTGTCATGCAAAGCTGAATTTTCAACATCATTACTCCATTCTTCAGTGTCACATGATCCTTCAGAAATCATTCTAATATGCTGATTTGCTGCTCAAGAAACATCTCTCAGTATTTCCAATATTGAAAACAGTTGTTCTGCTTAATATTTCTGTTGAGACATTTAGGATTCCTTTATAAATTCAAAGCATTAAACAGCATTTGTATGAAACAAAGATGTTGTACCATTGATCAATTTAATGCATCCTTGCTGAATCGAAGTATTCATTTCTTTCAAAAAAAAAAAATCTTTTGAATGCTAGTTTGTTTATTTATTATCAGTATTTCACGAGCATCACCGTTCTGTCTTTGGAACAGAACAAGCTTTCAACAATGAAAATGAGACTAAATGTGCGCTTTCACTGTCAGAGCGTTGCGCAAAGCCTCGCAAATAGTTACGACATCTCAAACACACTTTACAGAATGTTCTTTTGTTAAATAGCCAGGATGCATGTTGAAGGCCTGTGTAGATGTTTGATCTCTGAGGACAACAGAGCATGTTGGATTGAGCTTAATGAACACGAGGATAAATCACAGCAACAAGTCTGTATTGCCAAACTGCGAGAGAACAGGCAATTCCGGTGTGGTGCTCCATGTTCCCATGAAAGCATATTGTCGCGCAGGACACACACTATACGTGGACATGCACACACTCACACAGTACGACATGGCACAGATGATTCACAAACTTGGGAATGTCCATCGTTCCAGTTCAGGGATTAGCAGATCTTGTACTAGGACTTGGTGATAAAGTATTTTTTTACGATGATGTTGCTGGTGATTATGATTTTAAGCAACATTTGTATGAATGCACTTCTATTTGGCCAGTGTAAGCGTATCATTCAATTAGATCCGCAGTCTTTATCTAAGTTGGTAAGTTTCTATGAATCCGTTACGTTGATCCATTTGAATGAATCTATTCTTGGTTATTTTGCATCATCGCTCTGTAAACGTTTGTGGAAGAGTGCATTCATATTTATAGGTAAATATCATCACTTGTGTTCATTTAGTAAGGAACAGGAGAAAACATCCTTTTTTTAATCTTTGTAATAAATTAGATTTAGATTCAAATAAATACCATGCTTTAGCCTTGTCGGAGCAAATAAGTAAATCTTATGTTGAGAAAGTTATTCTTTAGCAGCATCATCCTGTCCTACTGCTGCAGGGTGCTTTCTGCAAAGGCTTTATCACAGATCACTGACTTGCACTTCCTCTCCTGCTTTGTTTCCCGCTCTGTTTGCTCTCGGTCCAGGGCTCACTGGTACCTCGTGGTGATCTGTTTTCCCGGTCTGGAACGGCTTGAGTGTGTACCGTGGAGAAACAAAGGCCCTGTGTCCCAGGATAAGAGTCAGACAGCTAAAGCCAGCTCTGCAGGGGATTGTCAAAGAGGTAGCATACACACATCAACAGGGTTATTAAAGTGAACTAAAACTAAAAATGTTGTGTTACTTAAAATGAAAAAAATATGAACTAAAATTAAAATAAAAAAGTGTTTATATACAGTGGGTACGAAAGTATTCAGACCCCCTTAAATTTTTCACTCTTTGTTATATTGCAGCCATTTGCTAAAATCATTTAAGTTAATTTTTTTTCCTCATTAATGTACACACAGCACCCCATATTGACAGAAAAACACAGAATTGTTGACATTTTTGCAGATTTATTAAAAAAGAAAAACTGAAATATCACACGGTCCTAAGTATTCAGACCCTTTGCTCAGTATTTAGTAGAAGCACCCTTTTGATCGAATACAGCCATGAGTCTTTTTGGGAAAGACGCAACAAGTTTTTCACACCTGGATTTAGGGATCCTCTGCCATTCCTCCTTGCAGATCCTCCAGTTCTGTCAGGTTGGATGGTAAACGTTGGTGGACAGCCATTTTTAGGTCTCTCCAGAGATGCTCAATTGGGTTTAAGTCAGGGCTCTGGCTGGGATGAGATCAGTAAGCTTGACATGACAACAGTCAAGAAAGCACGTGCTAAAACGTGCAATGTTATTTTTAAAATAAATATACAAAAATAAGTTAGAAAAATAAAGCTCTTAAAACTTAATTTGCCTTTTTTTGGCTGATACTATTTATTGCAGTCTGGGTCTCATGCAGACATGCAGGACTAAGTGCTAAGAATCTTTTCCAAATTACAAGCAATAGCAGGAAAAAATACAGAGACACAAATGAAGTCAACAATGAAACGGTATGCCATCAGTATGTGTTGTGTATATGTTGCATCTGTGTAATGTTGTGTTGGTATTTGCAGTCTTGACGCTAAACGGCAGTTTTACGTAGTTGTAGATTTGTCTTTGATTCATTAAACTTCTGCTCAACTCTTCTTTGTGGTTTTTCCGCTCAGAATCCAGTGGTGCACTTTGATCCCCCGCTGCGATTGGAGCATTGGTTTCCGAGGAATCAGGTGCACAGGAAGAGGGAGGAGCTACGGGAGCTGGTGCTGCGCCTTTACCGGAGACAGGGGGGCGGGGCTGAGCAGAGCGCCAAATAAAAACAGCCGGAACATGTCCTGTCACTAAACTAAGAATTAGGGCCTTTTGTTTGGTTTATTTGCTTGTCCTGTTTTATTTTATTTGTTTTTTCTACTGATTAACAGATAATGGATATATTTATAATTTAACTTTGTATTTATTTGTATTAAAATTGCTTTTTAAATGTGACTCAAATTTCATCCGGTTTATTAATTTCCATGTAGGTTATTTGAATAAAAAAGGAGCTGAATATTTTAAATTGACTTGGAATTTTGATCTATATATATAGATATATATATATAGTTGGATTATTTGGATATATAAATCTGCCTTTTCCGCCACAATTAGACTCACACATTAGACTTTTTTTCTCACAATTCATACTTTTTTCTCACAATTCAGACTTGCGTTGTGTTTTCAAGTTTGTATCGCACAATTTGGACTTTTCATAGAATTGGGAATTTATATATGTTACGATTCTGAGGTTATATCTCACAAATTTGACTGTTTTTCTCACGATCGCAAGTTTTTATCTCACATTTCAGGCTTTTTATCTCACAATTGCGAGTTTTTATCCAACAATTCAGACTTGGGTTGTGTTTTCAAGTTTTTATCTCACATTTCAGGCTTTTTATAGAATTAGGAATTTGTCGGAATTTGTTTGTCTCACAAGTCTGCCTTTTTTCTCACAATCGTGAGAAAGTTTTTCGCAATTCAGACATTTCTTCTCAGAATTGGGAATTTATGTATCTTGAAATACTGAGTTTATATCTTACAAATCTGCCTTTTTCGCACAATTGCGAGTTTTTCTCTCTCTCTCACAATTCAGACATTTTTCACACAATTGCAGAAGTCGTCATTTTCTTCTCAGAATTGGAAATGTAATGTGTCTTGCAGTATTATTTCACAATTCAGATTTTTTTTATCTCACAATTGTGGGGGGGGGGAATCAAAGTTGTGAGATACAAAGTCGAAATGACATCTGACATAATCAGATTCCAAAAGTGAAGTACTCATTTTTTTTTTTTTACAATGTTCATAATCAGATTACAGTTACTTTACAGTTACTTTTTTATGGATTACATGATTACATTTTATTCACACATTAGTAGTAAATTATTTACAATGTAATGATTTTATATATAAAACAAAATATATGTACTGATTACGTTTTTAATAGCACATTTTTTAATGATCTTATTGGGAGTGAGTGACTGAATATTATTCATGTAATTATATCACTGACAGCCACAGCTGGAAAACACTACAAACAAGCATTGTATTCCTGAGAGTTCGAGCAGCACTGGAATCCCCATAATGCACTTATTTGCTCCATTAAAGAAAAAAAAGAACATAAAAGCAGCCCTTTTTCCAGAGGCACACAAAAACACGAGTATTTGTGACAAAACTGAAACAAAGCATCGGCCCGCTTTCACTTGTGTTTGTATGAGTTGGCCAGAGCTCAGCTGGATCCTTCACTGCCTACTAAAATAATGATAAACATCATAAACTTTATTTAACCAGTACCTGGCATATATTTTAAATGCTTTTCATTAATGGAAAACTTTAAAAATGGAGAGGGATGAAAAGAAATGAAAGACTTTTTAAAGAAAATTAAAGTTTGTTTTGACTGTACAGGCATTATCAGCCCCCGCTGGGATACTTGAAGCATTTTTGTTGGAAAAAAAGGTTTGATGGCCAGTGCTGATTGGTTTTCCGTGAGCATTTTTCTTCCAAGGAAAATAATTATACATCTAGACATGTATTAATTGGATGCATGACAGTGAATAATTAAGTATTTAGTGGTAAATGGAAATGTTTTTCTAACTGCAATTTGTGGGTCTTTCAGAGGACTAAAGCCCCTCTGCAAAAAAAAAAAAGTTTTTTTTACTCTTACATTTTATATAAATACATGTAGCATATATATATATATATATAAGCATATTTGGCCGAATTTGTGCTTAATTGTGAAGATTTTCTTCATTTTTAGAATATTATGTTTTATTTCATGTTGATTTTAGGGTAAAATTTGACCATCTATTTCATATATTTATCACAGAATAATTTTTACTAAAAATAGTATTATATATGAAGCTGGTCATTCATTGAGGGGTAGTGTTGCTCATGAACGGACTGGGATTTGGAGGAGAGCAGGCGTGTGTTGGCCCGGAGCAGATGGGAATGGGATTTAAAGCAGCCGCTGCTGGATGTCCTCTCTTTCACTCACTAATTTGTGTTGTTGACTGGAAGGTTATTCCTGAGGATAGTGAAGGATTCCTCAAGGAAAATTAAGAGATTGTTGCTGTACCTGTACAAGAATGGACACTTGCCATATCTTTATTTAGTTTTTTTGCTTGTCAAAAAATTTCCCTTAAGATTTGCTAGATCTTTCCATTCTTTCCCGTTTTTTCATTCTTATTTTATTTTCTTTCTTTTTTTTTAAATCATAGAGCGAAGAGAGTTTTTAATGCACTTTTCATTCAAATTGGTTTGCTGATTATGTAATTACTCAAGAAAAAAATCAAATTAAAATAGAAACATGTCAAATAGAAGACTTTTGGACACCTGCTGTATCCGGTATATGATTTGTGTTTATTAATAGAAGTACTGATCCTCCCACATTAGAGTTGGCCTTAAACTGCAGGCCAGACTGGGGTGGGATTTAGGATCAGTTTTGGGTTTTCCTCTAATCACGTCTGACAATGGAAGTAGCCTGATTGAGCCGATGTCAGGCCCACTGCTCCAACTTTACACTATACGGCCCTAGATTAGTTAATCTGGACTAGACTCTGAGATTAGATCTGAATTAGACTCTGAAAAGAGGAGATCTCGCACACCCCCCTCAACCCTGCTTTATACCCCATAATCTACTCTCACAACAAGGCTACTGGTTTCTGGCTCTGTCCTAGGAGTCCTGTATATATATATATATATATATATATATATAGATAGATAGATATATAGATAGATAGATAGATAGATAGATA